CCAGTCCAACCCACCCCTAGTCCAGCAAATTCACACTCCTGGACTCTTTTACTTCACAATTCCAAAATTATTATATCATGAAAATCCACAGCACCCCAAAATACCTTAAAGAATGACAACAGAAGCTCCAGCATTCACAAACCCACGTCATTATGTATTGTTCTGTTTCTGGACCCACTGAGAAAAATGGAATTTGCCCAGTCTACCTAAGCCCAACCCTTAATGGCAATTCACTCCCTCCCTAACCCAACCCCCTGAGGTAACAAAATCCCTCCCCAATATAATTATTCAAGTACAGTTAGTTCATACTGACCCATCTCTCATCTCCACTGCACTCAAAATCTTAACTCCCATCTCATTTCTCCAGCCACAGACTTGTAATATCCAGCTGAACCAATGTGCCTGGATGAATAGAAGGGTCATTAGCAGGCTAAATCTACGAAGGATAATTAAAGAGGACCCCAGATGTTCGCCTAGCTTGATGTGCTACCAAAATATAAACTGAGCACAACAGCAGACAGAAGAATGTACAACTGTATCAGGAAGTCTAACAGGGATACCACACTAAGAATTAGCAAGAGGACACAGAAAAAGCAGGTTTCTACAACTGGACAACTACCATTTTTCCATATCCTTGAAAATCTCCTGCCATTTGCTTGGCCACAACCATTTCTTTGCAACTAAGAACAATATGAAAGAATTCCCCAACCTCTACTTGATGGTTGCTACCTATCAACCCTCTGTCAGATTTGGCAGCCCCAGCATAATCCAATGATGCCTTAGATCGGCCATGTTCACCAAACATGCTGAGAAGGAAGCCTCCAGTGGCAAGGGTGCCAATTTAAACCCCACATGTGCAGCTTTTGTTAACTGGAATTTCTGATTGATGGGATCATCTGAATTCTCAATAGCTGCATCTTGGTATTTTTCACTTGGCATGTTGCCATCTAAAGGTGCAGCCCCAGGTGAAAAGGATCCTACATGGCAACCATGTAGCGGGTGAACAACACAGTGAACTGCTTTAGGGGGTACAAACTGGCACACACGCTCCCTTACCAACAGAGATTTCTTGCTCAGTTACCATACAAACATGGTTAGTACTAAGCTATGTGAAAGCAGCCAAAAGTCTAACCCAATAGAGGGTGCCAGTCCTGCATATGCCATCTTCCATTCCTGCCAGTTAAAACAACAGATAAAGATATCGTGACAGCAACAGGAAAAACTGATGGCCAAAAGGTCATCTATTGTATCTTACAGAATCAGATTGCTGATTCTCTGCCTCTCTTTGCTTCGCTTGATATACCACAACAATTTTAGTACCCGAGCTCTTGGTCAAATAGTTCAACAATATGTTACTTGGCCCACCCCCAACTAGGTCTATATATCTTGGACAAATTCGCCTGGAATTCCAAGGGAAATGCTGTACAGAAGTGTAAAGATGCATTTTGATTATAAGTTGATCCACTGGAAGATAATGGAAAAGTGAATGTAAGTACTTTGGGGAGGGTTCAAAGCAGGGGTGGGAATCTGTAGCCTTCCTACCAGAGGCTGCTGAATTACTATTCCCAGCATCACCCACCATGGCCATGCCAGCTGAGGCAGTTGGGATTTTTGAATCAGCAACATCTAGAGGATCACAGGTCCCCAATCCTGATCTTTGAATGAGAAATACTTCTTGCGCACCAATAAATACCAATGGGAAGTCCATAATCCAAGGTGGGTGTTAACATGTGGGCATACTTTGGGGGCATATATGCAGATGCTCCATGTTTTGCACCTAGCCAGATCTGCAGTCACAATGCTTACCATTGCACACGTGAACACAAGGAAGAAGTAACGTAGCCAAAAAAACAAAAGCAAAAACCCACAATAGTGACATGCATCCAAATGTCCTAACCGTTATCACAACTATGAGATATAATGTACTAGGACATGGTAGAAGAGAGTGTGGTGCTGGATTTCCTGGAGTTTTTTTTATTTGGCTGAGTCTAACGACTAAGAAACCCCAAGGGTAATTCAACTCAACAGGTTTCCTCAACTTGGCCCCCTCCAAATGGATTGAAACTGCAACTTCCAGAATTCCCAGCCAGCATGTTATTTGGAAAACTTCTGGAGGCCACAAGGTTGGGGAAGGCTGAGGTAAAATGCAGAAATGGGGAAGAAGCAAGTAATGAAACAAATCTCTTGTGGAATAAATAGATCAGAAACCCTTTGCGTTCTCCCTTTTCCATTTCTTGACTCGGATCTCCAAGGCAAATGAAAAGTTCTTTTCCATCAGGTCAGAATGAAGTAGTAAAATTCCTTATGCAGAGAAGGAATCTTCCAGCCATTTACTCTCTCGCAATGTCTTCTGTGTTCCACTTGGAGACCTGCTGCTTTTATAAAGCATTTTTCTCACCTTTTTTGACTGGAGACAGACCCATTTAGATTAGAACATGTTTCTATTTAGCGCCCCTACGAGTTTCTATAGAGAAACACAGATCTGGCAGAAAGGAGCGTGGCTTCCAAATTCTCATTTTCCAGCAATACAATTCTTTTTTTAAAAAGTCAACCCAAAAGGTTCTGTACATATCAGGTGTTGCAAAAGACTCTGTTCAATGTTTCCTTCACTTTGATCGTGACTAGGTCAGTGATCTTGAAAAAAAAGTAGATTCACCAGCTGAAGTGTAATCTATTCTAATATGTCAAGTTTAGTAAGGAGAGAACCTGGTTTTCTCTCAGGGTATTGCCAAAATTCAGCTTCTGTTCGAGGAAAGAAAAACATAAAATATCAAAACTTGTTTGCATGGATCCCTTAAAAAACATCTAATCTGAGGATGCTGGACAAACGCACTGCTGTGATTGTTGGCAGAAGAAGAGCTGGGATTAGTCTTCCAAAAAAACAGTATAAACATTCAGCAGTTCTCACAAGCTGCTGGCAAAGAGAACAAACCATGGCATCCTTCACCTTGTTCCCCGCCATTGTTTCAAAACTAGAGAACCTTAATGTCTTCGGACCTCTAAGCCCAAGAGGCCGACTGGAGAAAGCAAAGTAAGAAGTACACACTTGTCAAAACAAAAAAGTGTGCACTTTTTTTTGAAAAAAGGCACCAAATACGAGCAACAGCATTTGTTTTAAAAAGCTCTTCAACACAGGCCCGAAAAGGAATCCTAACACATTTTCTTTCTTGGTTAGGAAATTAGGGGAACCTGCCCCTCCTCCACTTGTTCTCGTCATGAAAAGGTCCTCCTTCTGGAGGTGGCTGAGGATTAAGACATTTTCCAGAAGGTCAGTGAGGCAGTCAAGACCCCGGCAGCAAAGACAGCAATGGTTTGCCAAGTGGGGGTGCTGAAAGAGGAGAGGAGGCCCTCCTGGAAGAGACAAACAACAAACAAGAGAGGGAGGGAGAAGACAAAGAGATCTTCAGTAAGGCAAGCCTCAAGGTAAGGGTGTCACATTTACAGTTTCCCCACAAGGGCCCACATCCCTGCGTTTTGATCTTCACAGCCATCTTGCGAAGGAGGCTGGGGTGAGAGAGAGCAGCTCCGAGACACCGAGGGAGGGTGCTCTTGAACTGGGGCCTCCCCAGCATCAGTCCAACACCTGAACCACACAGGTTGTCTTTGTCTTCCCAGTTAGGGTTAGGGAGAAGGAAAGTTTTCAAACAATAATCCATGATGGCTGAGAATTCCGGGAAGACATAAGGAATGTTCAAGTTTTCTCCCTTCTCCAAAATGTTGATACAGGAATTGCTCAGCTGGGAGAAAAAGCATAAAGGTGGGAGTGAGAAGAGGAGCTGTAAGAACACTTAAGAGTTCACCTCTTCCCACTTTTTATTATTAAATATAAAAAAGGGGTTTAATTATTTGACCACCCCTGTTCCTGAATGAACTACTAAAATCATTGTGACCACATGCTAAGTCACTGTATGATTTGTTGGGTTTTGGCTTAGTCTGTATGAATTTGGTATTTTTTAAGCTGTAGTTTATGGCTTAGTGTGCTGCACAAACTTTGTATTGTATTGTGTTGTGTTGTGTTGTATTGTTCAATAACCACAATTATTGAATTGTGGAATACTTAAAAGGTATGGTTAAGTTAATCATAACTTAGTGATCTGTGAAACTCAGCTCAATGTATGCTTGTGCTCAGCTAACTGTGGTGCACAGAGCTCCAGTTGGTGGACCCTGGAGTTTGGGTTTTAAAAAGCTGAGATCTGCTCACGTCTCTGATAAAGCTTTCCTAATCTGAAGGAAGTCAATGGAAAGCCATTGTAAACTCACCCATCCCCCTTGGGCTTGGATCCAAGCCAGGACATGTTCCTGGATATATTCCATAGTCCAGCTGATGACAGTCCTTAGGAGCTCTGGTAATTTAGTGCACACTACCTGTTCAAAAATGACAAAACAGAGAAAGAAAGAAAAGTTAGTTATTAAAAACAGCCAGGATGGGGAGAAGTCCATGAAAAAGGAAGCAAAAAAAAAAAAAAATGACAGCAGCTGGGAAGAGTGTCTGAAAAAGGGGAAGACTAGCAACAACATACTTACCTTTAGGACCAACTTGCACGCAAAATAAAACAATGCCACCACACGGCCCCAGTTAAAAGCACCATCCGAGAACATCTCGGCAGCCACTCGAAAGAAAACTTCCTTGGGGGGATACATCTGAACTTGTTCTATCATCCTGTAAGGCACAGCAAAAGAACAGCCCAAGTTAGGGAGCGCCTCAACTGAATACTGGAGAAACTCAGTGAGCCTAGCACAATGCAGCTTTTTTTTTAAAAAATGATCCAGGTAGGGCTAAGCTTTGACCTCTGTAAAGCCATGCTCCTTGAAGTCCTTCATAAGAAATTCACCAGGCCTGATGAAGCAGAAAGTGCAGAAGGTTGTCAAGGTGAACACAGACAGGCACTTTTCGCCATCCAGACACCTTCCTGAAGTGCTGAGACTACAATTCCCTTCCAACAAAGCCTCTGTGTGCGAAGAACCAGGTGGATGAAAATTGCATTCCCCAATGAAGTCGATTTTCCTCTAAGGGATCCCCAGGCTTGCTTAACATCATCAAATGGGCTGTATCATAGAGATGCATGCTATTCCTAGTCATGGCACCCCTGCCTTGCAACACACAGCCCAGAGAAACTCACACGGCATTCGTTTTGGTTTTGGGGCTCCTACCAAAAATTATTTATTAATATCATATTTAAAAATGGTCCTGACACATCTGTACTCTATATAGGATTGTTAGGGTACAATCTTCCGTAACAATTTAAATGGCTTTTGATTAACTGATGTAGCCAGTTCTACAGACTTTAATTTTTACTGTATGCTGCTCTGCAAACTTGCACAACTTAAAGAAGCATATATTTAATCAATTCAAAGCTACACAGAGATGCCAAAAGGATTGATGGAAGATAGAAAAGCAATAACTTTATGAATGCAACGTTCACTTCTATCAGGCAGAAAACTAAAGGCTGATGTATCTATGAACTTCGGGGATTTTATACTAGTTCCCCCCCCCCCAATTGCTACTGTTGCTTTTAAGTCTTCTTGAATATTTGAACTGCAAATAACGATTTAGATATTCTAAAGAAATAATGGCTACAGTGGGGGGACACCACTCTCTACTGCCAGAACACACCTCTGTAGCTCTGTGTTTCCATCCAGTTCATCTCCAATCCGGCGCAGGCACTCACTTAGTTGCTTGGTGTTGGGATTACAAGCCTGAGCCTCTGAGTCTTCAAGCTCTGCCACTGTCACCTCAATGCGTTCTGAATCCCCACAGCACTGTACCCGATCCCTAATAAAGCTGAAACAGGGTCCAAGTAAAATAAAGTAAATCATACAAGAATCTTCAGCCTGAGATCTCAACCAGCTCTATCCGTGTGATCTTCACAGAGGAATCAACAGCTCAAAGCCATGGCTTTATGTCCTAGTTCCCCCAAGAGGGGAACTATATGCCTCTAGAGTAGTGTTTCTCAACCTTAGCAGCTTTAAGATGTGTGGACTTCAACTCCCAGAATTCCACAAATCTTTAAAATGGTCAAGGTTGAGAAACACTGGTCTAGATATTTGCTGAAAATTTAGAACTCACCTTTTGAGAAGAATGGTTCCTGTCTGAAGGATTTGATCTGAACTTGTACCTGAAAGGGAGAGAATCAGCAATATGAACATGAGCTATGGGGAAGAGAAAGATCTCCAGGAGCAGAACAGCCAAGCTAACTAAGATCTAAGCTCTACCTAGCCCAGCATCCTCCTTCACACAAGGGCCTAACATATAGCTACTGGAATCCCCCACTCAGGATATAAAGGGTTTCCATATTGGCCAAAAGCATCCATTCTCTGCGAATTCATCTAATCCCTATTACTGTCTGTCATTACCTCTTGCTCAGTGAATGGCAGAAATCAGTTGGCTGGGACAACAGCGCTATGAAATGCCACTTTTGTGCCGTGTGCCATCAGAACTGGCTGGGTTTACACATTTTATGATGACGCATCTCATAAATGGCAACAGCTTGAATTGTTGAACATGGCAAGCCTAAATAAAGCTAGGAGAGGTGGCTAATACTAGGGAGGAGAGGGGAAAATCCAAAAAGACTTAGGCTAGAACAGTGGGTGGAAACAAATAAGATTAAAAATAAGCAGGGAAAAATGTAATGCCATGCAATTAGGTAAGAAGATTGAAAGAAATAAGTACAGGATGGGGAAAATCTGGTTCAAGAGCAGCACGTGTGAGAAGGACTTGGTTGCCTAGTGGATCACAAGCTCAACTTGTTCCAACAATGTAATGCAGCGGTGAACCCCAACGACATCTTGAGAAGCATCATAAGGAGCACAGAGTGCAGGCTGAGGGCAGTAGCTATCCCACTCTACTCTGCTTTGATCAGGTCTCAGAGTCTTGCATTCAGTTCCGCACATCCCAGTTTAAAAAGCACATTGATAAACAGGAGCAAGTCTAGAGAAGGACTACCAAGATGGTGAAAGGTCTGGAAAACAAGTCCTACGAGGAACGGTTAAAAGAGTTAGGTATGATTAAGTTGGAGAAGAAAAGGTTGAGAAGAGATGTGACAGCTATCTTTAAATATCTGAAGGGCTGCCACACTATAGAGGAGTGTTCTCAACCCTAGCAACTTTAAGATATGTGGACTTCAACTCCCATGCTGGCTGGGGAATTCTGGGAGTTGAAGTCCACATATCTTAAAGTTGCTAAGGTTGAGAAACACTGCTGTAGAGGGTTCAGTGGACTTCAACTCCCAGAATCCCCCAGCCAGCCATGCTGGCTGGGGAATTCTGGGAGTTGAAGTCCACATATCTTAAAGTTGCTAAGGTTGAGAAACACTGCTGTAGAGGGTTCAGACTTATTCTCACTTGCTCCAGAGGGTAAGACTAGATCTAATGGGATGAAACTTCAAGGACGTAGATTCAGATAAGACATTAGGAAGAACTTGACAGTAAGAGCTATCAGTCGGCGCAACTGGTTGTTGCACACAGTGGTTTCTTCCTTTTCACTGGAGGTTTTCATTTATTGGCGATAGTGTCGTGAATCCTGCAGTATCAGAGGGTTGGACTTAGTGACTTCTTAGGTCTCTTCCAACTCTATGATTCTATGAAAACCAGGAAACAAACTTATAGAGCAGTATGTGAATCTTGTGACTCCCTTGCTCGCGCCACATTGACTAGACATAGCTGACTCACCTTTCTATCAAGAAACCCCCTTCCCCCAGCCTGAAATTCATCTGTTGCAAATGTCAATAGAAGATGGAAAAGAAAAGCTCTCAGTATGTTCTTCCTTCATCAGTTCTAATAAATAAACCAATTTCCTTTTTCGTTTCTTTGACATGCCACCCATTTCCTTTTAAGGCAGCTTTATTGTTATGACTAATTATTTCCTAGCAGCATGTATAGCTCTCACACATCTTTACTGTGATTGGCTCAGGTATCCACTTATTATTTTTGCGACTTCCACAAAATTAGCAAAAAAAAGCAAGACCACTAATGCAGTGTTTCTCAACCGTGGCAGCTTGAAGATGTGTGGACCATGAAGATGTGTGGAACATGCTGGGGCTGGGGAAGTTGCAGTTAAGGTAGACTGTTTCTGGCTGGATGGCCTTAGACCAGTGTTTCTCAAAAGTTGCAGTTAAGGTAGACTGTTTCTGGCTGGATGGCCTTAGACCAGTGTTTCTCAACCGTGGCAGCTTGAAGATGTGTGGACGATGAAGATGTGTGGAACATGCTGGGGCTGGGGCATTCTGGGAGTTGGTCCACACATCTTCAAGTTGCCACGGTTGAGAAACACTGGTCTAAGGCCATCCAGCCAGAAACAGTCTACCTTAACTGCAACTTTCTTCTACCTGGCACCACGCAGATGTCAAAACCACAATTCCCAGAATTCCTAGTCAGCAGCCCCAGTGACATTGGGGTCTTAGTGTATATGGGGGGCATAAAGATGGGAAAACTGCCTTACAGCCATAATGTGGAGATAGCTTGGGTTTCTTAGAACTTATACATGTATTTGTCATATGAAGGGCACGCCTTTGGTTTACTGATGTTAGAGAAGTGTGAGACCAAAAGCTGTTTTTAAATACACTTTTTTTCTTTAACATTTGTCTGTTTTCTGAAGAGTCTTTGCACATACATGTTCCTACCTCTCATGCTTTCTATTCTGTCACAGCTTCCCCATGATCAGAAAAGAATGTGATCTAGGAAGAACTTTTGCCCGGTACAGAGTAATACATCACCTTCTCCCATTCACCCCAAAGAATGTGCCCATCAAAAATGTTTCATGTCTTACACAGAGTAAAACTGACACACTTTTCTGAAGTTTCAATACAGTGTCTAGTGCCTTGATCCACATACAACATGCTGTTAAGTTATGTCTTCCTGTTTTCTTCACATTTATACCTTGCCTCTTTTTCTGTCCTCCTGATCTAAATTTAGATCGTAAGTTTCTAACAAGCAGGGACTTGTCTTTTACACAATGATCACCAACTTGATTTTGATCAAGTAATGAGACAAATTTACAGAGAGCAAATCTAGAGACAATTATCAACCAAGATAGCCAAACAGAGCTACTTTCAAAGGCAGTATTCCTCTGAACGATAATCTAACAAGTTAAAGGAGGGGTGCTGAGCCCCTCTCCTCCGGTTTCTCAGCTTTTAGTTTTCTGTTATGGCCAAACAACAATGAATTAGAAATACTGTTAATCTGATTAAGCGTGGCCTTTTTTTTTTTTTTTTTAAGTTAACTAGGTATTTTGTACAGGTTACCATCAAAATCTGTAGCAAGGACTATCTATCTATCTATCTATCTATCTATCTATCTATCTATCTATCTATCTATCTATCTATCTATCTATC